GTGAGTGAAATTCCTAGTTTGAAGTAATTTTAAAGGAATTATGCAATTTCCGTACTTCGGAAGACTATTTATATATATTCAAGACCCAAATCAACGGCCGAAAATGGCGAATCTGTCCTTTTAAAAAGGAAATAACAGACACATTCAGAAGTGACTACAGAAGAAGGACGTAAAACTCCAAAACTCCAATTCATTTTACTTTTTTACACAGATTACAAAATTTTCCACCTAAATTCAAGAATCAAAGGCAAAGGTGTACCCCGAAAGTGTTAGGGCCGCGACAAGATAATAACTGTTTTAGACCGGAGATTGGTAACAGGCCATTCATTGTACATAAATATTGATTGACAAGGGCAGTAACTCGATATGCCGCTATTACTTATTTCAATAAAGTTGGTCGCTATAGATAGAAAGATCGTTTACTCTTAACAAACAAACATTTTCAAAGTTTATTTTCTCCTTTGTTATACAAAGGCCGACTGTTTGGGCAAGGAAACTCCTGGTGTTTGAGACTTTTGTCATTTGATCCCATTTAACCATTTCAAAGAGAACACAATAAAAATATTTTATGAATTTTATGCAAATTACCTATACCATCGTTTAACTTTATGTGTGTTATTAAATATACATGCATTAAGTCATACTGGGACTACCATTTTTACGAATGAAAAGTACTGAAAAGAGATCATGCAGCGAAACGCACCAAGCAAGTGCAGAAATGAAGAAAGCGATACCCCATTTCATTTCTATTGAAAGAAATTGTAAAGAGGTTTTCTAAATTTTGTATATGTATCGGGGACAATGATAGCATCAATTTGCTCCATTTTCGATCAGACACCTGTCCGTCCTGTGTTTCCTGTAATTCCACTAAAATTAAACTTTTAATGACATCACTAATCGCAAAGGGCCTTATGTACTCAAGCATAATAATTTCGCGATTAGTGAAAACACTTAGTTAGAGTGGCATAGTAGGAACCACAGACGTTTGACTAAAAATTGGAATGGTGGAAATTATTGCCATCAGTATCCCTTATAATCATAAAAAATTCCAAAAAACTCTTAACAATCTCTTTAAACAAAGCTAAAAAAATTCTCACAACCAAAGCGCTCGAAATTTGCACAAAATTTACCATAACAACGATATACATTTCTACAGAAAAGTTAATCTTATTTAACATTTTCAACCAAAAGATTATCAATCATTTCGATAATAAGAAATAATTGCCTTTTAATAAAGACAAAAATATCAACGTCAGTTTGAGTTTATTTTAGATAACAATCGATCAATACAATGTATTTTATATGATATTACTCAATGCTTGGTCAATTTCTAAGTCTGTCTTTTCCAAGCCAAGCACGAATTTTATTATATTTTACGGAATATTTAATCATAAAAATAAATAATAAAAAATAATAATTTAATATTTTTAATATAGCCTAGCTACTTCATTTAGGGTCTGAAGACGACCTTCTCGAACATTGGTCTGTTTGATGACAGAGGGGTTGGCGAGGGCATGACTTTGATTTGGCTGACGGTGTCAATAAACGGAGGAATGTTCAAGAAGGTTGTCTTTGGAATGTGAAAAAGGCGACTCGTCTTTTCTTGAGATTCTGTCTCATATAAAAAATACAAATTATAGAAATTGGAAAAGAAGTTCCTAGTTTGAGATATTTTTAGTACTTCTGAAGATTATTTACATATATCAAGACTTAAACCAACCCAACAAAATGGCGCATCAGTCCCTTTAAGTAGGGTCAGAAAAACTTGCCCCTGTTTTACGAGGATTTTCCACACCTCCGAAGAAGCAGAAGGCAAATGTCGAAATCTTATCTTTTCTTATGAAGAGCAGACAATTCATTGAACGCACCACAATACAAACATTTTTAATTTGGAAAAGTTGAAATCATAGGAAACGTTGATCTACTCCGTTTATCACCAACTATCATAAACAGAACTATAAAGTCAGTAAACCGAGTGGATAAAATGGATACGACGAAAGCTAAAGTCAGGCCTCGGGGGGAATTTTAATCTCTTAGACGAACAGTAAACACGACTGACTGACGCCAGAGAGCCGTGAAAACTCGGGTTGATTCCATTACTCACAATAGTTCCAATGTAGAAGTCTTGTCATCGGAAACTCAACATTGAGATAAAACCTTATCTCGGGTCTTTGAATATCAGGAAACTTTTGGCACCAGCGAATTAATAATGGATGAACGTGATAATGAATGCAACACGAGATATGATGAGTAGTTTCTTTTAATAGAAGATTTGAAACAAAGCAGAATGAGAAAAAGACATTAATTATTTATTTTTTTTACTTTAAAGATGGGTTCCCTTATTTTTCATTATGAAAATGAAAATTCTAATAATTATTTAGATAGAAAGAAGAGGTGTTTTAATGACTTGTATAATACCAGTTTGTCTCACATGTCAATAATTAATTCATAATTACCTAAATTAGAAGGTAATTATCAGCAGAATTCCAATGAGTGACCGATCAAGAGAGGTCAAAAAATATTATTTTTTTGTTTATCCAGACTGTACTTACACGTACATTTATGATTGGTTAAAACTCCTAATTATATGCAAGAAGAACATAATGATATGATTCAGAATACATGATAATTCATTAGAAACACCATTAATCAAATAGTTTGCTTGATTTGACACTAAAACACAAGAAAACCCATTTTTTAAGGGATTGTGAAGAGGTTTTCTAAAATATTTTATGTGTATCGGAGACATATTTGGAATGATTCAAATTGATTATTAGTGTCCCCGATACACGTAAAACATTTAGAAAACTTCTTTATGATCCTTTTAAGTTTGGACCTTATTTATATTCAATATCTACCATTAAAGTCCGTTTTAACTATCATACTAATAAATAGTGACGGGATTTCTCATAAAAAACTAAATTACTTTGACCTCTTGACCGGTGGTCAGTAAGCTAAACAGTTATGTGTATTTAGAAATAGTTCGTAGTTTGTAGAATGGACATGAAATTTAAAGTCTCAAACTTGGTCAATAAGAGTATATATTCATCAGACTTACCAGGTGTCATGACTAAAGAATAGAATCTCTATATAAGACGATATATCCATTGAACTGAGGAATTATTGAAAACCGCTTCTAAGTGTGTTTCAAAATCACTGGTGATTGCTATGGTATTTTGGCCCCTCAAAACCAAACTTAAATTAAAAGCTATATGTTTATGACTTAAAAATCTTTCTAGAAAACTTGAGTCCATTCCGCACTGGGTTTATCAACATCCCGCTCGAAGATACTTATGGTACATGCAGTTACTTTAATATTTATACTAAGCACTTCCGGTAGAAAGGTATACAGATCAACACAAAAAATAAAAGTCAATTTATTGTGTTTCCTGTAGCCTTTTTGAATAATTGATTTTCGTTTCATATCTCCCTTAGCCCTATCGATTTCAGTACTTAGACTGATTGAAATCTTAGGTCGCTTGGCGTCTTTGATCTGCGCTTAACCCCGACATTATGATCCTGATAAGAAGATTATTCGGATAATATTTCGATCCTGGAGTTAATCCGTATTGACATATAGCTTTGCATATATAGACATTGTTCTCTCAATATTTAAACAAAAATAATCAACTTTTCTTTGTGTGATAAAATCAAATCATAAATGTTTTCTCATAAATGACAGCTATTGAAAGATGTAACATTTTTTGCGTCTCAGAAACGGGAATTTTTTTTGCTAAGACAATCAGTAATAGTGTTCACAGCTCACTGTCGTAATTTGAGCCTTAAAATCCATGTGTGTCCAGAATTATCCGCGTTTAAAGGTTAAAAAGGCGAGTCGTCTTTCCTCGAGACACTGCCACAATATAAAAGTTTTTCTGTTTTGCTGTCTGAAATATCCGCAGCATTTGCCCATCTAGAAAATTGGTTTGCACCCCAATTGTACCCTCAATTTATTTTTTAACAAATTTTACAAGTTTTTGCCCCAAAAGGTGTCAGAATTCACCAAATAAATTTTTCTTCGAAGAACCCGCTCAAACGCTTCATAAGAGGCTTGCGACAAGGACACATCGATAGAATTTGAATTCAGCCTCGACAGTAAGTTGTCCCTCCTTGAGTCAGTCTGTCCTCTAATTGTACCCCCAGTCTCGGGAGGCTGGCACCGCCACTGTTAGTGATAAAGTAAAGGCAATCCAGTAATAAGACGAAGATTCGATAGTTGTTCCTCCATTGCGTCAGTTTGTCCCACTATTTGTACCCCCAGTCTCGGAAGGCTGGCACCGCCACTGTTCTAAAGTATGTTGTATATCAATGATTAACCAGCTGAATGGTTATATCATGTATCTCAGTCAGTGGTTAAACTACCAATCTGTTTATATCATTAACTCTCGTCAGATTACAATGTACTTTTCTTTTTCTGTGTATCTTTAAAAACTTAACTTAAAGGGATTGTAAACCGACCAATTCCATTACTACAATTAGTGACGTCATCAAAAGCTTAGTTTTCGTGGAATTGCAGGATCCACATACATCTGACTGAAAATTGGAATGGTGCAAATTGATACTATCAGTGTCCTCGATATACACAAAAAAAAGTCCTCTTTACAATCCCTTTTAAGCCAATATTAAGACGACTACTTTCCCTTTAATATACAACAAATTATGGGACAAAACGAAGCTTTTCAATTTATGCAAAATTATGCAAGTATATGCAAACGGTTTGAATCCAAAATCTCCATCACAGTTAACTTTCACAATATCTTGATTTTATCCAGTCAAAATTCTATAGCTATAACTGTCACATTCTAGGACAAATTCTTGTTATAAATGCACGTACTTTTCATGTTTAGCATGCTATTGTTCTTGTTATCTAGACGAAATCTTTATTGCATCTGTATATTCTATTGGTGAAATCCATTTGCACTTCATTGTCATATTTCGTCTTGGGAGAAACTTATTTTTTTCCCTGTTGAGATATGTCTTTGTCTACAAGATAAAATCAAATGACAAATTTTGTATTGTGTAAATCTTGTCAATTGGGTGTTTATAAAATGTGCAGTTTACCTACGTCTAGTATGTTATAATATACAGCTAACAGCCTTTTGCTTATCTTACCAGATTAAAGGGACAGATGTGCCGTTTTTTTGACCAATCTTACCATAATCTCAGAAAAGTGAATTTTTTTGCTAGGCTAATCAGTAAGAGTATTCACAACTCCCCATCGAAATTTGAGTCTTTTAATCCACGTATGAATTATCCGCGTTTAAACGTTAAAAAGACGAGTCGTCTTTTTAACTTTCTCTTCCATATATAGAAAAGACATATGGAAATAGCAATTGAAACTCTTAGTTTGAGGTCATTTTAAGGAATTTTGCGATTTTCGTACATTTTTGGAATTTCTAAAGTATTTCCAAAATCATAATATTCCAAAATGGCCCATCTGTCCTTTAAAACATAGCTCTGACTATTTTTTTCTGTAGCTTAATCGACTCTAATCGAAATAAGATTAAATTACAATTTCGTTTCGTTATTTTTTAGCCTCAATTGTAATCTAAAGGGATTTATATTAAGGTGGCATAATTTTGACGTTCATTTCAACCAATCACAACACGACATGCAGAATCGTTGTCTTAATATCGACTATGAATTGTGGGTTAGCCAAATCGAAAGTATAAAGTGATATGACCAATGAGATTATGAGACTGCCGATATGTGTTTGTAAAAGTGATTTTGATCGGCTGTTATAAATAGCTTGTATCGTCACGAGTACGCGACCTTGGTATAAATGTCTTTGGATTACAATGAAAAATGTTCTTTTTATGTAAAGAGATTTGCCAACTGGAGGCCATTCCCCACAATCGAATTTCTTAACTTTTTATTTTCAATATCATTTTGTCTGTTTCAGCAGCTCTAGAATGTGACTGTAACACAAAAGAATGTGAAGCTCTCGGGATGTCCTCCTGTTTTGCTGATAAATTTTGCTTTGCGGAGAATTTTAACAACAAAATAACCAGGGGATGTTTAGATGGTAGAACACCCCTACTGTGTGAAAACTGGAGACCAAAGAAGTTGAATACACCATGGCCAGTTGTATATTGCTGTGACGATGAACATCATTGTAATAAAGATGTCAAACCAACCGATCCTACAGTTTATGGTAATGTTTTGTAGTCTTATAGCAGGTTCCTTTTCATGTGATTCATAGTCATGTCATGTTTGTTGTGTATATTAAGCAATTATAACGGGTGTGGCGTCAAGCAGGGTATGCTTATACTCTTAGACACCTTATACCACTTTTCATTATGAAATATGTACTCACTTATAATTGATATACTTCCTTGTGTGAAAATTTCATTAGCTGCAACTAATGTTTCGCCAATATGTTGTTTGGATTTCGGGTTTCGTTTTGGGGATCATGATTTATTTCTTGTTCCATAAAGGTAGACAACGGCCAAATCAGTTTTAGATTACGTAGTATTAAAGACTAAAAAATCAGTTGCCCATGTTCTTTAGCAACAGTTGGGTTACATTAGAAAGACTGCATTCTATATTTTACGGTTCACAATGGTTATTTTTCACTACCTGTTATTAGGTAATTAGCATCTTAATCGTTTGTCTGGACCTAGGCCGAAAAGTCTGCCTCTATTACAGCCTCCAATAGATATTTTGAAAGTTGTCGACTGTTTTAGGGGGATTTTTCTGACTAGTGTGAATCTACTGACATGCTAACTACTCCATTTATCTAACAGTGTTTCTTATGATTTCAGTTCAGGGAACAACAGTTCAATTACCAACACTTCAATCTGTAGAAGGCGGTCATGGCGATGATCAACATGTCGGTGATGTGCAAAATTCAGACTGTGAAAAAAGTGAAACGAACAGCAGCGTTTTACGAAACAATGGGGTAAACAAAATGTTAAACCCGATCTATATCGCCGTGCCCGTGGCAGGGGTATGTGTTCTGCTAGCATTAATAATATTCGCTATGTATTTATTAAGACGAAGGAACGATTATTATCACCATTATCATTACCCTGATCATCCACAACATTTAGCTCAAGTCCCATGTGACCCTAAAAAACCCGGTGGGGCAACGTGTAGTTCAGTGAACCGATGTACTGATAGTGAACGCTCAAGTTCTGGGAGTGAAACGAAATTGTTCCTGCAAGTGTGATGCCGTTTGAAACTTTGTTACATTTTCAACATTTGGGAAGTCAAAGCTCTATTTACAGCGTAGAAGATAACTTTAGAGACTTGTGGGCTATTTATGGAATGTTGATCGTCCATCTTTATTGCATTTCATTATTTGTTTCATCATTTTATAGACGCCGTTAAACATATTGATGTATTGTCTTATTGCAATTAGACCAAACTTTTGTTCTGTTTTTTGATTAGCTTTTATTTTAATATAGCCACTTCAGTTAGGGTCTTACGACAGCCCTCGGGAAAGTTCGTCAAATTAACCTCTTGACCTGGCTCGATTACGTCTGCGTTAACCAATCAAATTTCTACCCTCTCTATCGCTGGCATTTTTTGACGCAGTGTTTATCAGGTTAGGTCAAAAGGTTAATTTGATGAACGTTCAAGAGGGCTGTCGTGAGATGCTAACTGAAGTGGCTATATTGTAAATAAAGGCCAATAAAAACGGATCGAAATTTGGTCTTGTTTTAGTTAAACTGGTATCAGTTTGGAAGGTCTTTGGAATAAATAAAAAAGTCTTGATAATGTAAATGTTTAAAATATTGCTTTTAAGAAGCTTTTCACGAAAAAATATATGTAACGAATTGAGCTTAAAGATGGGTTTCCTTATTTTTTTAATGTCAAACTAAGCAAACTGTTTGATTAATTGGTGTTTCTAATTAATTATCATGTATTCTTAATCATATCATTATGTTCTAATAGCATATATTTAAGAATTCTTTTTTACCAATCATAAATGTCCATGTATGTACAGTCTGGATAAACAAAAAAATACTTTATGACCTTTCTTGATAGGTCACTCATTGAATTCTGCTGGTATTTCTCTTCTAATTTAGCTAATTATGGTTGATTATGGACATGTGAGACAAGCTGGTATTTTTCCAAGTCATTAAAACACCTCTACTTTTTATTCATATAAGTAATAGCATTTTCATTTTCATAAATGAAAATAAGGGAACCCATCTTTAACCAGCATTTGACTTACATCATAGTATGCTTGACATCGCTCCGGGAATAATTCATTTTGGAAATGAACTAGGATGGAAATGTGTGAATGATTTGAACAATGATGTTATTTAATTCATTTCATTGAATGCTTGAGAGTGTGAACGTGATCTTAATACATAACAATTATTCATGTTGTGAACGCCATTTCGAATTCATATGCTTATAATCTTACAATAAGGAAAAATCTCATTTTAAAGGTATAGGCTACTAAAATTAAAAGCCTCAAACTTGGTCAATAAGTGTATATATTCATCAGTTGGACTTACAAGGTGCCACGACTAAAGAATAGAATCTATTAAACTAAGTAATTTTTGAAAAATGCTTCTAAGCATATTTCAAAATTACTAAGGTTAATGGATATTTCTTTGTTTTAAGGATTTATTAGGTTATAAATAAGAGATTTACAGAGAGATTCTGTTATATAGTTTTAACATCAGGTAAGTCCACTGATGAACAAAGACTCATTTTGGCCAAGATAAAAAAAATCATTTTTGGGTCTTCTTTTTTTTAATGTCTTGCTCTAATGAAGGTATTGCGAGTCTATGATGTTTAACCTTTGAACCAACAGCCCTATATCTTCATTTCATTTTGTTGAATTTTGGCCAATGAGCGATTGTGATAAATACTATAAAATTTGAGTGGATAATGATTGAAAATGGCGATCTCCATGGAATCGAGCAATAGTTTATTTAATGAATTGTTCGAGCTTTTAATCTTCGACCAATCAAATTTGTTGGCTAAATATTGGTTGGATGGATCAAGACTCAGATCGAAATTTCGAAATACCATTTGAAACAAAAAAATCAATTCACCTGTGCATGTTTCGACAAATTTTGCTTGAAATTGTAAGGATAGCATTTATTGTAAAAACTCGGGTGTTTTCTTGCTCAATTTTTCATCATCAGTTATATATTTATTCTCTTCTTTTCCATTTCATCCTCGACAAGGCTAAATCGTGGTCTTCAAACTCATATATTCGTCACACGCCATTGTTTACGAGTTGATAAGGCTGAATAATCATCTATCCACCTCTATTTTAGTAATAAAATTCGATGTGCAATTTGAATTGTCGTTGAGGGAATTTTGTATGCGTATCGAGGACACTGTTAGCGTCAATTTGCACCATTCCAATTTTCAATCAGATGTCTGTGGTTCCTGCTATTCCATAAAAATAAGCGAGTTGTATTACACTTATTTTTACTGGAATTGCAGGAACCACAGACATCTGATTAAATTTGGTATGGTACAAATTGATGCTATCAGTGTCACCGATACACATAAAAAATTTAGAAAACCTCTTTGCAATCCCTTTAACATCTTTCTAAACTTTGGAAAAGTAAAAGTGAACTATAATTGTCATTGACATTTGACTTTGACACATTGACAACTGATATTTCTTTTTATTTGACTATAACGGTTTAGTTATAAATCTATCTGTAACATATCAAAACTAGAAGGGATAGGCTCGTGACGATATCATGCGAAATTAACAGTTTTCTGCATTTTCTTATTATAAACGGTTGTGATTTTTGGCAGGATTATTTTTAAAGGGATTTTAAAGAGGTTTTCTAGAGTTTTTTTTATGTGTATCGGGGACACTGATGGCATCAATTTGCACAATTCTACTTTTCAGTCCGACATTTGTGGTTCCTGCAATATCTGCAAAAAGAGCTTAGTTTTAGTGGAATTGTAGGAACCATAAACGTCTGATTGGAAATTGGAATAGTGCAAACTGATGCTATCAGTGTCCCCGATACACATAAAAAAATCTTGAAAACCTCTTTACACTCCCTTTAAATGTAAAACTATTAATTTCATAAGCATAGTATTCAAGCTATATTTTATTACTTCAGAATATACAAAGGGGCATAACTCTTTTTTTCAGAGTAAAATTCTCTCCCTTCAAATAACTTTCATATTGATGTATTAAGATGAGCTTATTCGAAATCTATCCGTTGACCCAAGAGGAATATATATGTTACTTTTTTACTACGCTAGCGCAACTGGGCCTAATGAGATGAACGGGCGCGTACACCTTGTTAATCAATATGAATAAGTCCTATTTTTGTCCGAATCAATACAGAGAAGTCTTCTTTTTGTCTAAATCAATCTGGAGAAGTCATCTTCTTGTCCGAATCAATACAGAGAAGTCCTCTTTTTGTCTAAATCAATCTGGAGAAGTCCTCTTTTTGTCCAAATCAATACTGAGAAGTCCTCTTTTTGTCCAAATCAATACAGAGAAGTCCACTTTTTGTCCAAATCAATGCAGAGGTCTTTTCTTGTCTAAATCAATACAGAGAAGTCCCCTTTTTGTCCAAATCAATACAGAGAAGTCCCCTTTTTGTCAAAATCAATACAGAGGTCTTTTTCTTGTCTAAATCAAAACAGAAGTCCTCTTTATGTCTAAATCAATATGGGAAAGTCCTCTTTTTGTCTAAATCAATACTGAGAAGTCCTCTTTTTGTATAAATCAATATGGAGAAGTCCTCTATATGTCCAAATTAAAAGATAACAAAAGACCATAACAAATAAAATTCAAATCAGGTTTTTGTAAAAATTGATATGATGTATATAATACTGAGACTTATTGGTAATTGTATAATTATGTTGTATTTTATGTATGATATTTTGTATATTTTTATTGTATATTTTGTGATTCTAATTAAATTTGTTAATTACGTTCTATACTAGTCAAATTTTTGTTCTTCCCATGTTCATAAAATACATTGCTACCTGTGGGTCAAAAATCCCTTTTTGGTTCCAATAATTTGGATCTTGAAAATCGATGTAACTCGGTGCTTCCCTAGGTCTCCCACAATGTGCTTAAAAGTGGATTCTTAAGACTTTTTTTCCTGCGAAAAAGTGCCAAAAATCCCGATTTTCACTTAGACTTACAGAAACGCTCAGTACTTTCAAAGTAGTAGAGCTATGAACTCGCGATTTGTGGCATTGGAAATTTGAAACTAGCATGGGTGTAAATTTCATCATCAGCTCCGAGCAAGTACTAAAACCACTGGCCACAGAGACCTGCGATTAGAAGTTGCAGTTAGTTTGACAATGTTCCAACCCAGCTTCAGAAGGAAGTATTTCTATATAGCCCTACAATTGATGGTCTATAATTGATGTACTGAGCACTATATAAGTGTTTTTCTGAGTGCTTGGGGTCTAATTAGTAGGAAAAACCCAAAACATGGGCCAAATCGGTTTATTTGGCAAAGTTAGCTATTGGACATTTTCCGTCTATATGGCCTATAAGAGCAGAATATCGGCAACTTTTTCTAAATGTGTAGGGGGCCCAGGTGCATATGTGTGCAAAATTTTAGCTTCGTAGCTTGGTAACTTTTCAAATTAAAAATTTTTTTGAGTGTAAGCACATTTCGTGCAGTCGCCCCTTGTAACTAAAAAAATTCTATTTCGGTTTTAAGTGTTTTTCCGAGTCCCTGGGGTCTAATTAGTAGGAAAAACCCAAAACATGGGCCAAATCGGTTTATTTGGCAAAGTTAGCTATTGGACGTTTTCCGTCTATATGGCCTATAAGAGCAGAATATCGGCAACTTTTCCTGGGCTAACTTTTTCCCTATGGGAGATTTCTCTGTTCTGTTTTTTTCCACGTGTGTAGGGGGCCCAGGTACATATGTGTGCAAAATTTCAGCTTTCTAGCTTGGTAACTTTTCAAATTAAAAATTTATTTGTGTGTAAGCACATTTCGTGCAGTCGCCCCTTGTAACTAAAAAAATTCTAATTGTTTTTAAATTGGTTTTCAGTGTTTTTTCGAGTCCCTGAGGTCTAATTAGTAGGAAAAACCCAAAACTTGGCCCAAATCGGTTTATTTGGCAAAGTTAGCTATTGGACGTTTACCGTCTATATGGCCTATAAGAGCAGAATATCGGCAACATTTCCTGGGCTAAGTTTTTGCCTATGGGAGATTTCTCTGTTCTGTTTTTTTTCCACGTGTATAGGGGGTCC